GAGAGGCTTTGCGGCCAAGGGTCCCAGCAAACCCCAGCGGCTCCAGCCAAGATGTTGGGCTGCTGAGCATGCGAACCAGGGAAGCTCCGTGGCAGAGTAGCTGGCATCCCGGCTCCTGCGGTGCGGAAAAGCCCCGTTTTGAGAGTCATAACAAAACCTGGTATTCACATGGTCCACCCAGAACCATGCAAAGCATTTCTGTGATCCCTTACTACTCTCTACCCGCGTTTTGATTGTGACTCACACCCTGCCCCGGAAAACCCGAGGATTCAGGGCGGCGCTGAAAGAAGTGCACCAACATGCGCGACATTTGCCTCCGGGTTGCTTCAAGGATGGCATGGCAAGGGAGGCAAAGCTAAGCAGCTACTGCCATTGTCGTGTAAGCAAGACGCACAGGAGCTGGCAGCCATCCAAACAAGCGCTCCATGAGTTGTTGAATTCCCTTGGACAAAATGCAAGACATAATATTATATCCTGCATGATTTGTCTGCCTCAACGAACTCTTACACGCGCTGGTTCATAATTCCAGCGAGCAAAAGGAAAGGTGTAGAAGCTTTCAGAAGCAAGGGAGCATACCCTGGTGTGTGTGCGTGTGGGCCGGCTCAAACTCTGCGACTCTGCTGTGTTGCAGAATCACCGATACTGTATGTGGCACTTCCAACTAGCAACAATAGCTAGTGACGTTCAATGAGTTGTTGTCTAAACAAACAAATGGCAGAGATTCCATTCCGTGTGTGGACACCATCCTACAAGGCTCTTTGCCACTTAGGATATTTGTATTCCAGGTAAAGGATCAAATTTGATCGCCGCTATCAGCCAGGGGTCAGCGAAAGTGCTATGTGCTGCTCAAAGACGCCCATCCGCAGTGGGTCCTTTGGCTCGTGTCAAAGCAAAATCCGGCAAGGCATTGTCACCATGACCCACTAGATTACCGAAACAAACAATCACACAATAGGATTTTCATGGTGGCCCGCCCTTGAAAAATGCTGTATGATCGGGCTCCCAGCCGTCCCATGGGTCTTAGAGCACCCGGCCTGTGGGAGGAATGCCCATGACCGGGCCAGTCCAGCGCGACTACCAGGAAGCCCAACTCGGCCAAGGACGGGCCCAGCCTTGCGGCAGAGCCACAGGATGGGCGGAAGCAGCTTAGATGGGGCCAGGGCGGTGGTCTCCAAATCTTGATATTGCATACCACAGCCTAGTGGTACAGCATGCGCCTTGTTCTGAGGAGCGACATCATGCTGTCGTGTCAGTATTTCGTCTTCCCTGGACAAGGACTCCTGTCTATGTCTTGAGTGTGGTTTTGGTGTCTGGCTTGCCACTGCATTGGTTCACATTTCTGCTCACTCAGGCTGGGTTCTTTCACTGTTGGATGTTTTAGTGGCTTCGATAGTTTGCTGGTTTCAGCTAGCGGGCTATTGGATTCGAGCGCCAGGAGGTTCAACATGCTGAGATCCGAAGGTTCACTCAGAACCAAACACAGCACGAATCGAAGCACTCAAAGAACTCAAACACACACGTTGATCATCTGGCAGAGTGTGCTGCACGCTGCTGAGTGCCAACATCGCCTAAGAAAGTCAGACCAGCCGTCAACAAATCAAGTACAGAATGACAGCCTGTGTCAACGCAACAGCGGTGACTTTGGAAGGGATAGCGGCTTTGAAACGGCGTGGTAAGAATTGCTGAACATCTAGGAAGACATTTCCGACGTTAGGACGTCCCATATAACTGTACATGCTTTGTCCTCGAGCTTTGGGGTATCGTTCTTTGGACGTCCCCTATCGTTGTTTGAGAAAAAAAGAAGAAAAAAAACATGTGCGCGAGGCACTCCCACATAAAGTAAATTGCGTTAAAAACATATAAACATGTTCCTATCACCTGAGGCAACGTTCTTTCACAAACCCACAGCAGCACACACGAAAACACACTAGCACCCACCCTGATGGTGAAAACTAGAAGGTTCATTATCATTGTTTCTTCTGATCTCATGCCAAAATTCCAAGGCCTGTGGACACCCGCTGTGGGGTCCCTTGCCCGGCTTCTTTGACGAACTTCTTACACTGAATGGAACAGCTCCTGTACACGGTGAGCCGTCCTCTGCTCCTTTGTCCCTCAACATCAAGCCGGCCTTTCTCTTGCCCTTGTGCTTGGCATTCCCAGCATTTATCACGCACGTCTCCGAATCAATCATCACTTCCTAATAAGAACCAGGGGTTCAAATCCCCTAACCACCAATCCAAACCACCCATTCAGGGTTACTTGAAAACATGTTCAGCCCCGGTCGCCCGGACCCAAAGAAAGTGGATCACAGCCAGCCAAAACCAAGGCCGAAAAAGCTCCAAGGGAGCCCAGGCTAAGCCACGCTGCGCCAAGCAAACCAGCACCCCCAAAAAACTTGTTGTGCATTAAAAGGAATAAAATGGAAGCTCAACGGATGCGTTTTTGTTGAAAGACGTGCCATTTACAGAGGCCTTCTGGGAGCTTTTATGCTAGTTTGAGGGAGTATAAACATCTGAAATACATGAAGACGTTGACACCACAAAAAACACACAAACTTTGATCAGAGAAAGGAGTGGCCTGGTGACCGCAAGTCCACTAGGATTGCAATGCATTACGTGTATGTATCCACCATGCGCATTACTAGGAGCACTGTCTTAATAGGCACACATAATAAATCTAGGTGTAGTATATATATATATACATATATATGTATATTGTGAATACGCATATGGCATACCTAGCTAAGAGCAATAGTTTCGCTCACTGCAAGTTGACATGTCTCGCATATACGGAACAGTCGACTTGGGCCAGGCGGCTCTTGGAAGCTGTTACTGTTGTCCAGCCAGCCATGCAGCGCCAGCAGCGGCCGCCCACGCTGACCCCAGGCCTTCCCGCAAGGAACTGGGTTCCGCGCCAAGCTATGTGTCAAACTAGGGATTTGGAGCCCAGACTGGTGGTTCTCATCTTGATTTCCCTTTGAGCCGAGGTGGGAATGGTGCCCTCATCCCTCAAAGACACACAAATACACACACACACAGACACACATGAAACAAGGGCGACTAAAGGGACAAGGGGCATCACAATGAATGGTGAGATAGCGGGCAACAAGTCAAACATATCAAACTAAGCAGCAAAACAAGGCACTGCTGACACATTGACCAAGCAAGCCACCAAGCAGGCGATCAAGCAAGCAAACACAACCAAACAGCGGACTAGCCAATCAAACAATGAACGGATAAATCAAACAATTCGACAGCCATGAGTGGACAAACACGACTGAAACTGATCTCCCTTTGCCTGTGCCGCCAAGGTAAGACCCTCAGGCAGCTGCATCATCAGCTGCGTTGCGCCTCGGGCATGGAGCCCATGGAGGCAACCACCCAGCAAGTCATCATCTACGTTACTTCCCTGCAATCAAATTATCCTGGGGTGTGGATTTATTTCGGGATTTGCTGAAAATTGCTAAATTGTTCAAGTAACTTGCACTTTTGCGCAAGCTGGCTTCGCTAAACCGGCGGCAGTGCGCATCCACCCAGCTTTCCAAGACTGCTTTACTCTTTCAACGGGCCACACTTGTCTACCTCTTCAATCAGCTCCTCTGATGCGATGCTTGACCTGCATTGCTCTAGCACCACTGGTTCTTCTGGAGTCAGAATCTCCTCGTTGACTGAATCCCCCCAGTTGAATTTGGAGAGCTCAGTTGATTGGCTCTGCTCCATACTCCCCCAAACTACTGTAAACTCCGTTCCGCCAGGGGTGAAACCTGAAAAGGACTTTTCAAGCTGAGAAAACGCGTTGATTCCACGCAAACGTCTCACTGAGTTGTCCCACAACACATACGTGCCGGCCAAGGTCTTCTTAGGGCCTAATCGTTTTGGGGTTTAGGTTTTGGTGCTTGAATTGGGGTGTTTAGGCTTCATCAGGATTTCTGGGGAGCAGGGTTGCACGGGTTTCAGGTTCTTTGCGCTCAGGTTCAGGGGCTAGGGTGTTCAAGGTGCTAGGGCCGTGTTACTTCTTTAGAGAATGCTTGATATTTATTTGCCTGTGTTTTTGTTACTTCTCTTTTTGCGACGGGTCGGGAATGACCGAGTCCGGAGGTTTGGGAATGAGCCGTTTCGGGCTTCCCGCGTCCAACACGCAGGCCTCGGGCGCCTCTCAGCGCCACCATGGCGCCGGCCGGAGGTGCGGGCCACACATCCGCTTGCGTACCATGGGCCACTCCTGTGAACCTGAAGTCACTGCTTTTCTGCACAAAGTGAGGAGCGAAATCGAAGGTTGGGCACGTGTCTCGATTGGCTGGACGATGCTGGACATTTGACTTTTTTGGGGAGGCCATTTGACATGTTTTTCTGCCGGCCACTTGAGAAGTCTGGGGCGGGGGGGGGGAGTGAGATATTGGTGTCCGAAGGCTCAACTCCTCCGGGGTGAGATCTGCTGGCCAAACTTCACATACCAAGCCCAAAAATACTTCAAATGCAAAGGAGAAGACAAAAGAGCAACATGCTGCCAGCCAACTAGTGTTTGTCCCTGCGAGCTTGCCTCATATCATATAATATCGTCGGAGCCACTCCTTTCACCAGGATGCGCTTGCTGCTATCCTTCCGAGCCTTAGGCCCAGGACATGTAGCGGAAATGACGGCCTGAACTTCCCCGTAGCATGAGTGAACTGACAAAACAGGCCAAGCCCAAATTCGTCTTACCAGTGCTTACCAGGGTGTTAGGGCAAATCCAGGCCAGAAAAGGGTTGCCCCTCTGAAGAATGGCCTATTGCTGGTCGGAGGATTCCAAGTCAACATGCTGGCTGAACAATGCATAGAGAGACACTAACAAAAAATGAAGAGCCTGGCGATCCCTCAGTGAATGCACGTGTTTGTAACTGAACACAGGCTCCCTATGTGGCATCAGGGAAGTCAATGACGTCAGCTGTGGGGCAAGTCTTCGGCAACAACCAGTTGAACCAATCAAACTCGACTCCTTTCTCTCGCCCCAACCGAGCGCGCCTTCCTTCTTCATGGTCGACTGGTGAGCATCCAGGTTGCAGTGACATTGGGGGATGTCGGACCATCCCTGGCACAGCCAGGGTCCCCTTTTGCTGCGGGCATAAGCGCAACACCTTTGCGAAACATGTTTACAACGCTTGATGTTGTTGAAATACGGATATGTCTTTGGATCTTGCTTCAAGATTGGTCATATTCACGAAACAACATCGGAAACTATTCAATGTTCTGATATTTTGCTTGATAATGCTCTACCTGCCTGTGGACTCAAGTATGGTTTTGCCACTCCCTACAACACCAAAGCACGTTGGAAGGCCCCACGTGGGGGATAGGCATGTCCACAAGAGGGCCTCTCAGCACGGCTGACACCTACACCATTCAGGGTGCTAGGATACGACTTTGAACAAGGCCTTCACGGCTTCATTGTGGTGTGGTGCTACGCTTCATTGCTTAAACCCCGCCTCTTCCTTCCGGCCATGGATAGATGTGGCAGCCTCATGCGCAGCAAGGCATTCTTTGTTTGCAGGGACACAAATTGGACCTGCGCCAAAACATATTTAGGAACCCTCTTTGATAGTTCAAGAACACCACGGAAGAAGGTAAGGTTCTTATATAATAACTCAATCCTCAGGAACTATACAAGACCTCTTGGAAACCATTATCCGGGATGCAATTGCAAAGCTTCCTAAGCCCCACCAATGTACAGTTCACACACACACACAGACACACAGACACACAGACACACAGACACACAGAGACACAGAGACACAGAGACACAGAAACACAGAGACACAGAGCACCCACCCACCCACGCACGCACGCACGCACGCCCGCACGCCCGCACGCCCGCACGCCCGCACGCCCACACGCCCACACGCCCACACACCCACACACCCACACACCCACACACACACACTCACACACACACACACACACTCACACACACACACACCCACGACCACACACACACACAAACACCCACAGGCACACGCACACGCGCACGCACACGCACACGCACACGCACCCGCACGCGCACGCGCACGCGCACGCGCACGCGCACCCGCACGCGCACGCGCACGCACACGCACGCGCGCGCCCGCACGCATGCACGCACACACGCACACATGCACACATGCATACAGACTTCCGACCACTGGCTTCGCCTCCGTGACCCTGTCACTGCACCGGTGACGGGATCAGGTGACACGTATTCATCCAGGGCTCGGCTGGAAAGTCCTCATCCACGAAGAGACAGCTGCCTGGTTTTCATCACGAGTCCACTGCCCCCGTTCACGCAATATGGCTGTGGGTCAAAAATGGGTACCCAAAATGGAACCCTGGTAAATGGAACCAAGGACTAAAACCTGCGGTCCCTGGTGGTTAAATTTTGACCCATACCCATGTGTAAATCAGAGGGGTTCGCCTTTTCAGTGAGTCCCATTTTGTCCCTTTAGATCGCTCTCCAAGACCCTGAGAAACAAGCAGAACAAGCAGCAGGGAAACATCCATGACCCTGGAATTCTGTCCGACACAAGAAATCTTGCCAAAAAGGCCTAGGCCCTTCATTGTCGGGCAAGGAACGCACCAAGCTCGGGACCCTTTGCATTGAGGGGACTCGGTTTGAGACAATGCCGTGAACCTTTAGGCGCGCTGAGAATGCAATCCCATGCTGAGAAGCAACGTTCTGGTTCCACGTAAAATGCAAGCCTGCCCAACAAACTGTCGTGTCTGCAAGCAGCAAAAGCAAAATTTCACAATGATCCTGGAGTATGACGCTTTGACCTAAGCAATGGAGCCATGTGGCCGACATTGCATGCAGTGGATCTTCAGGCATATTGCACCGGCTGAATCCACAATAATCCAGACCCTGTTTCTGGCATTCCCAACAGTCTAGATGTAGTAATTAGTCCACCACCTTCCAGCCTTCTGGAGGAGGCTCCTCTAGCCAGGTCAACGCATCGTCACCATTTACTGGCAGCGCGCCAGGGGGGGCTGTCAGCCGTCAGACTTGACTTGCTTTGGAAATCAATGTACGGACGAAAGCAAACAGCCAATAAAGAACGGCCGCTCTGACGGTTCGTCTTGAAATATGTAGCTATGGCTACAAGCAGTTCTCAGCTGTTGGGTCCCACACCATTTAATGCGACAAGAACGGGGTTCCCCTCACCGTTGCACACAAAAACACTCAGCTGTGCAAACTGAAGTCTTTCCTGATGCACAAGAACGGCAGTGCACTTAGGGGTTCCTCTTCAGCTCATATCGAGTTATTCGCAGCCAAAACAGAAACACGGCTAAAGAGAGGATGCTGTGACTGTATGCTGATGCTCACGACAGCTTGGGCAAATCAAGTCACATCTTCCATGATGTGGTGACAAAGACAAACAGTTGCATTGCAATGCATTCGGCCTGCTTCAAGTTCCCGCCAGCGGAGCGAATGCCAGCTCGAACGTAGTGCTGTCCCAAATGGCTGGCCAGGTTAACTAACAATTGCCAACATATTCAAAGGCTAAGGCAAGCTCAAAGTTCAGGACCTTCGACGCACAAACAAACATGTCCGAACTTGCAGTGCGCATTGCAGAATGATGCCAAGCAACCACGGAACCTACGCGTTTGTTCTAGGCCCTCTGTATGAGCGGCCTGACGACAGTGGCATCAAAGTTGATGCTTGTGCCCTCCGGTCGAAGTTTCAAATATCCCCGCCTTCATGCTCGGACATGCCTGACGCAAGCAACTAGTACAACCGGCTTGAGCCATTGATTGGCTGCAGAAGGTCGCGGCACTCGAGGGAGTGCATGTTTTGAAGGTGCACCGGGCATGGACCCATCAAGTGACCAAGGGTTGAACTCTCGGCCAAGCTGCGTGTCTGAAACGGTCGTACCTTGTCAACGTCTTGATCGAAGGATTGCACTCAGCCATTTGGATCAAACGAGCGACCTGGTACAAAAAAGCGAACCTCAAAACATGTAAAGAGTTCCCGAAGCGGCCTTACCTACTTACGGTTGGGAGTGTCCCTTCTTAACCTTCACAGATCCGGGTGTTGATTGTGGCTCAGGTGGTAAAAGCTAGGCCGCCCTTGTTTGATGCCTTGAACTCCACAACTGCACAAGTGTGCAACGAATGCTGTCGCCCAATTTTACCCAATGGCCCAACCAACAAATAGACATCGGGGCCAAGCTGGCCCATCATGTTTCAATCCAAGTGACCTTCAAATGATTGGACTGTCCAAGGGCCCTGCTTCACATTTCAGGTGGAAGCCTCATGGCCCGAAGCCGGAAGTCAAACGCCGGAAGCCCATCGCACGCCCTCACCAAGGGCACCGCCACAACACCGCATCTTTGGTATCCAGCATAGCAATGGGCTCTGCCTGGCACCCACTGCTCCACATCGCTTCATACATCTTCTCTGTGTCAGACATGTCTGTGTGTGTGTGTGTCTGGGGGGAGGATATAACAAGGGTGCCTTCCTTCCAGGAAGTACATTTTGCAAGTGGCCTACCCGGAGCCGCAAAATTATCGAAAGCTCCCTCTGCACTATCTGCGTGTTGGCCGTGTTGAGTCAGTATGGTGAAAACAAACCTATGTTTCCGATCACCAACCTTGGAGGGGGCATCAGATGGTTTGAAAACATTAAGAACATGCATTTAGTACAACAGCTGCAAATTCGTGGACTGATTGCCATCCACACGCAGATTCTTGGATCCTCAGATCCAGAATGTGTGTCTCTCACTTGAGGGACCCCTTTTGTTTGGTCATTAAGGAAAGTAAACTCACTTCCGGAGTGGATTAGCCAACCAAAGTCCAAGCTTGTTCTTTGCCATTAAAATGGTCCCAACTTCAAACCCAAAAATTTTCAAGTCCAGAAGCTCAGAAAGTGAGTCAAAACGACATCAGATTTCTTTAGAGGCCAGGAGCCTCCCGCCTTGCCATCCTTGGCGGGCACAACCAGATGGATGTTGCAGGCGTCGCGGTTTTCCGCCACACGGGCGCTGAGGATGACCTCATGTCGGAAATTTGGTGGGGAGGCGGTCGAGACGGATCTTTCTAACAGAATTCATGGGACACAGTGGAACCGTCTGCGTCTACTTTTCACGTGGGGGTTGATCAAAAGCTCCGATGAGCAGGACTACATGTGAAAAGTGAGCCTTGGGCACTTGGGGGCCAGGAAAAGTGACCCTTGGGCACTCGGGTAAACAGGATCAACCTGGGCCTACCCGACACTGCTATCCTTCACCCGCACCACGTTGACCGTCCTGAAAGCGGCGTGCCCGACGCTGATCAAGGCCAGCCGAGGGTCCGAGCAAACCATGCCCCGTGTGGCAAGTCAGATCGTAACATGAAAGCGTCGTGTTGCCTGGACCATACAATGCGATTGGCTAACACTCGAAGCTAGAGTTTTCCAAACAAGCGGCAAAAACCACCACTGGATGGCGCAGGGAACCAACGCAACCCTTTGTTGAAGTACATGCCCATCTATTCAAAAGCGCCAGACATGCTTCAGCTCGCGGACGCTTAAGCGGGTCAGTTGGATTTCAGCTGTGGACTCACACCAGGGCTTGCTTTGAATAATTTGGCTGCCGAGATGCACGAAAAGCAACACATTAGCCTGACAAGTTGGCAGAATTCAAATATACACAGCTGCCAATTTGGTTCATCTAATCTGCTTGCAACACGAGATTGCGAAAACAACTAGTGTGGGCAGGCTGAGGCTCGAGGAGTCTCAGGTACACCTGAAATCATCCACATGTCATAAAGCATGCTGCATGGGAGGGTGTCTTTTGCTTTCTGTGGGCTAGACATGCAGGCTGGGTCAGGTGAGTTGGCCCTTTAAAATGAGGACTGGCAGTTCCTTGGCAAGCAGCCGGAGATCGGGCCACCAAATTGACCGATGCTTCGAAACCCCGGCCGCGGGGCTCCTGTTTTCAGGCGCTGCAGAAAGCACGCCTGGGCAAGGGCGACTAAGCCGTGGGTCAGCATCATCCACATGACATCTTCTGATCACCATGTTTTGTACATAAGGCTCACCAGAGCATGACTGGTACCGTACTATGAAATCCGAGATGCAACGCCGGCATTCAGAATCATCTGCAACTTCGAACAAACAAATTCGCTCACAAGAGAATGGCCACATCCCAGACCTGCAGCCGGAAAGAAGGGAGTCCTAAGGCGAGTTTTCAAGGGACTGCCCAGAAACAACCAGCGCATCTGGAGGTGACCGTGGCTGTTCTTTGTTTCCCTCTTTCAGCCATCCAAAAGAGGATGTTGTTTTCTCAGATGCCGGGCATTCTTTTGGGTTGAGCTTAAAAAAGGGGGCAACCAACCCCCCCTCCCCCCGCCCCCAAAAAAAAGAAAAAACACGCACCGGGCGCCACTGGGCGCCACTGGGCTGGGTCGAACTTTCGGTTGCCTCAAACAACCTCGTGAAAAACTGGGCTGCCGCGCCGTCGAAGCGCACCGCCACGCCTTGTGGGTTCTTCACCTGGGTCGAAATGAGACCCATCAGACAGGGAAAAATCGTCCATGTTTCCATTTACCAGGGTTACCCGTTTTGGGGTGTCCCATTTTGGGGTTACCCTATTTTTGATAACCTTCTGGGCCAGAATCTTGAGGTTGGCAGCCCCTCTGTGCTTAACTGCCCTTGCCAACTGGTGTCAGTTTGGACATGTGGCGGTTTAGAATTGAGAATCCCGCACAATTTTCGAGCGGGGATCACAAACACACCAAACTGCAGCCAGCTTGATTGAGCATCCTGGAATTTGCTGGAGCTTGGACGAAAGGTTGGAATGTGCAGCTTCCGGCTTATCCTTGAAGGATGACGTACCGTGGGAGCTGCTCACTTCCCGATCGACAGGGATCAAGACTGAAAGTAAGTCCCAGCAAGCTTTCATCTTCAATTTGCTGCAGTGCACGACGCAGCGCAAATACCGGCCAGTCATGATTCTGGCTCCGCTTCCTTCAAGCGCATCCTCTTGCAGCTCCTGAATTTTACGCAACTGACCCTTGGCCCCCCCCCAAAAAAAAGGAAAGCCATGCCCCGCAGGCAACAGCCCGAAATGTAGGGCACTGACGAAGAGGGCCATGGTCAGCGGAGACTGGCGAGAGTCCTGAATGCCCAAGGCAAAGGGGCTGCCTTGGGGCTGTCTCTTACAGAGGCAAGGCACCTGTAAAATGGGTTAGGAAGCCTCGTTATGACCCACTGAACGGAGGCTTGTAACCATGGTACGTGGGTTATAACCAGGCTTTCTAACCACTTGCCAAGTACCTTGCTCCTTTGAGTAGGACTGGAGAACTAGGGACGACTGCAAGACACTCATGCTAACCTGCATGGAACATCAGCGACACGCGCTCTGTAGCGGCTAGAGTGCTCCATCTTTCTACGCGGAATGCCTCTCTCCATCCGCATCCCTATTGCGGGCGGAGGGTTTCTCCCGCAATATTACTCAACTATATGTTCGCTCGCAATTTAGCAGTTTTGGAATAGCTCAATGTTGTACCAACCCGATTCATCATGGTCATTCCAGCCAATTTCATAACTGTGCCCTGTTGAATTTTGATTTTCCAGTGACATGAACTGGGAAAGAACAGCTTCTAGCCCAGAATAAAGTTGATATCCAAAAAGGCAGGAAGTTGTTTCGTTCACAATGGCCACCCCATTTCAGCAAACTTCCCGTTTCTAAATTCGTCTGACTGAAACATATGTCGCGGAGACATTTAGCGCAAGTCTCCTCCTGTGGGAACGGCAGCTGCGGGAGCCTCGGCCAGTGGGTCAGAAAAAGCTGGAAACTTCCGCTTGGAGAGCTTTCAGAAGCGACACCAGTGCTTGACCCCAACAGCTCTTGCTTCTCAGTGTTTTTGGGCAAACTGGCCCTCTGACGAAACGGACGGGACATGCACAAAGCTTGAAACCTAGTTCCCAGAACAAATCTGGGCCAGGCATGTTGGACATGGCGGCAACAAGCAAAATCCGCAAGTCTCCCGGCATCCTGTTCATGTCGGACCCCGCAAGGTTCAGAAGCTATGAATCACGGCACCCATTCTAGAGAAAGGTTCTGGTTGACTTCCCAACTGCAAAATTAAAAACAAGGAAACGCAAGTCTCACGATCTCCAAAAACCTCCGTCAATCTTCAGCACACCTGCCCACGCCGCTGTGAGTACCTCCCTTACCGCGGCAGGTCGCGTCCCTTTTGAGTGAAAATACGGCAAGTGCCCGTTTGCATCCAATCCATCTGGAAGCCATCCAGATCGGGTGCTGAAATGTGTGCCAATTGATGCTACTTGTCTGCCCGAACAGACAAGCAAAAATAGGGTAGCCCGCCTGGCGTGAGCCGTGGGTAAATTGGATAGGCCCGCGGCCCCTCCGCTCTTTCACAAAACTCAAATAATACAATGGTGCTAGCGCCTGAGTTGGGGAGTCACCGGTGACCCATGGCCTGGAAACGCATCCTTAGGCACAAGAAACCCATCGCTTCCTTGGACAAACTTGCGGTTTCCGGTTTCAGGCTCGCATCAAAGTGGATCCTAGCCTGCGCCGGGTCAACCGAAAGGGGTTCGGAGACTTCAAGCCGAAGAGCCGGCACCAAGGAGCCCGCGCCGAGCGCCCGGCGTGTTGCGGGAGAGGCTGGCCAGCACTGGAAGCGTGGGCGGCGCCGACTCCACGGGAAAGCCTGCGCCGTAGCCTTGGAAGCGCGGAAGCGCGGAAGCCGGGAACCGGTGATCCAAGGCACCGGCGACTAGTTGAATCGTGGCTCGCTGCATCTGACAATGAATAAACAAGTCGCAATTTCCGGTGGAATGCAACAAAGGATTTGGTGGCATTGGTTGAATTCACCAAAGATGAGTCTACTTGCATTTGAATTGTCAGCCTTTTGCAAGAGGACTTCTTGGGGCGGCCAAACTGCAGTAAGCAATGCATCCTGCACCCAGCTGTTTCAGCATTGTCGATCAGTAGTATGATGCATGATACTGATCACCATCTTCTGTGCTTCTCAAGCCCATTACAGATCTCTCGCCCTTTTTGGCACAAGCATGGCACCTCGATCTGGAAACCCAACAAGTCAGGGCCAATACGGCTTGGAATTACAAGCTCCGCCCAGTGGCTTTACTGTCGTCATCCTTAAGACATTGTGCTGACACTCCTCATGGCCACGGCGAGTGCCTTCCGTATCCTCGCTACCCCGAGAGCATCCGTGACCATCCCGGGTGACCAAAGTCAGCAAGTCTTCCGATGGCAGGGCCGCCCTGGGTTTCCATTCCGTGTTCTCAGCGCCGGACTGGTTCCCGGTCGCCTAACGGCAAACGGCAGAGAAAAAGAGAGAGAGAGAGAGAGAGAGAGACAGAGAGATAGCGCAAAGCCGAAGTACAACTGCACATCTGGCCTTTGCCGTTTGCCGTTTCTGCCGTTTTGCGATTGACGAATCTCGGGACTCCTTCAAAGTGCCGCTGCAGTGTGTGGCATTGCATGACTTGGTAACAAGTAGATGAAAGACAAGCCCTTCTTCAAAGCAGGGCAGCATTGTCAGCTGAAAATAAGCAAGGTGTCCTGACAAATCAGCGTGTCACAGGCGGACAAATGTCTTCATTGTAGACATATCTCGGTTGGGCCATGCTAACCTGTAAGCAGGCAAGAAATGCATAAATTGTTTCGCAAAGTACATGGTGGAATTTGGCAGCGCAGGCAGATCAACTCGATGAAACCACTTCTGCGGAAACTGCACTCCAATGCAAAGACTTCAGAAAGCTGTTTAATGCTGTTTACATGTAACTGTAACAGCGCGAAGAATGCGGAACCAGACTCAGAGCAGGTAGTGATTCTTGGGGCAAGTGATGAGTTCTTCCATGCCTTCGGCAAATGCCATGCTCATTGAGATCCGGAAACCAAGGCTTTGATGATCCGAATCAGACACCGTCACGAGGTAAACCAACCACCACTTCCAATTTCCGCTGGCCGCTGCGGGTCCCGGCAGGGATGTGTTCGGCCGACTGGGCAGGGCCGAGGGCGGCCTCAGGTCTCGGCAGACCGAATTCCCAGCCTCACCCCGAACCTCCCATGGACTTCCCCGCCCCCTGGAAAAAATAGAAAATATGTCCAGCTGTGAAATCGATTCCCTTTAATAACCAGCAAGGGAATAAGAAAACATATGCTCTTAAGCGGATGGAAGCTGCCCCGTCTGTAACTTGCTTTGTGACAAAAAGCACTTTGGTCTGCAGCTAGCACTATATCTGAGCTGTGGCAGGCAGAGGTCCCGGGCACGCTGCGCGGCCTCCGCAAGAAGCTGGGGCGAAAAGCCGATGCTCATTATACAGGGGGCCTGACGCATCCACGTCTATTGCTGCATTCAACTCAAGAGTGATTATGGCAGAGGCAGCCGGTCTGGCCAAAACCACACCGAACACAGCCCTTGCACGATATATTGCCGGAGTAAATCCACTGACGCGCGGACAAAAGCTGAAAACCGGGCAAGGCTGCCGGGAAAAGCGGCAGCTCGGCCGAGCCAACCTTCAGAGTTCCCAGCCAAAGGCTTCCGGCCAATGGGGCCCAGGCGGTGCCGGCGTCGGTCTTGGCCGCGGCTTCTCCTGGCAGTGCACCCGGCTCGCCCCAAAAAGGCTCTTATAGATCTTATAGGTGGTATGAAGGAAGGTGTCAACACCAGGGACCGTCCAGTTTGCAGGGTCGCTGTGCTTCGACACGCTGCCATGTTAAGCCATATCGTTGATATATCTTCTTGCAAAGGATCGTTTTTTTGTTTCCCCCACATGCCAGATCGTGTGTGTCCATAAAGTTGTGTGGATGATCGCGTTCGCCTCGGCCAGTGTTTTGCTATGTCGCTCGCTTGTTTGAAATGGGGGTGGATCAAAAGGTTCCATGTCATGGACCATCATGGACACAACACAAAAGATCACGTTCACCACTGAATGGGAAAAATTACCAGGAATATTGATCAACCCCCAAATTGGCCTCACTCAGCTTCGCGTCTTGTTTGGGGTTGACCTGCATCCCGACAATCGATACATATGCCAATCCTCCAATGCGGACATTATTGTAAAGACCATCAGGAAGGATAAACCGCAGAAACGCAGCGGTGTCTGCCAAGGTACCTTCTGCTCCCACCGCATCCGCCCGAAGCGAATTGAAAACCAGAAGTGCCTCTGACAGGCGGCCCATCACGAAGAAGGCCAGGATCGTCAGCAGCTGGGCATGGAAGCTGCCGTAAGAGAAACGGTGGATGAGCAAATGCCACTCCGAAAACCATGCTGCGCAATTTGTATCTCTGAAGTGACTAGATCAGAACTTCTGCAAATGAAGAACCAACACAAGACTTTCCGAGTAGCTTCACAACGTTTGAAGCAAAGCGGGGATTTTATCTACGTGTGTGTTTCACAGCAAAGGTTGGTGCTGATTCTCCGTACCAAGAGGGTATTGTGTCGGAAGCCCGGGCAGCGGGTTGGTGGCCAAGACTACCTCTAGTATGCCCTTGCTCTGGGCAAGGTATGCTGTCTGATGATCCCACTGCGATTGTGAAGTCTGCGTGTTTCATGCATCCGCACTGATTGACAAAGTTTGCAAGCCTGTCCCAAATGATTACTTTCGGGCATCCGCAGTTTGATATTGAGCATCCCGCACTGGCTCCAAGAAATATGACCAGCAAGCATCAGCAGTGCAAAACATGTTAGAACATGCAAATAACCAAACAAACAAGCCATGGCGTACTGCTTGATTCTTGATCGGCATCAAGCAAATGCTCACTAACAACTTCCCCATTGCACAGATCTTGGGGACCATCCCCATTTTTTCCGCAAGGTGAATGAGATTCGGTGCGCGAGGAATTGAATCATCATATGATGCCAGGTGGGTCGCCCAAAATAAAGCAACTTGGGCAAACGCAGGTTTTGGTCGGAGCCGCCCACTCTTTCGGCACCAGCTGTTTCAGGAGTTTCCATATACGGTGCCATGTTGGTTCCATTTTAGCCGCAGCCAGGCCAACCGCAAAGGCGAGCCAAGCCGTGGCTCGCCCTGGCGCGGGCGGCGGAGAGGGGCTTGGCATCCCCACCAAGGGAAGCCCGAGGAGGGTGAAGATCATCACGGTGCCCTCCGAGCTCATAGCCTCAGCCCGTGGGTCCGAACGTTTTGGGTGCGTTGGGTTGAGGTGTTACTCGCCCGAATTCAACGCAAGGCCTCCTTGGGCTCGAAGGTTGGCCGGGAACCCAAGGGTTTCGCTCTCAGGTTGGCAGCCACAGGATCCCCAGCACCAGTTGCTTGGTGTCAGGGCTGCACTGGCCTTGCTCAGAGGGCTGCCTATTGGCTTTGGTGGCAGTTCAGAGTTGCTCGAGGCTGGTTTCGGTTGAGTGTTGGGCTTGCTGAGGTCTTACACTGAGCGGGTCTTGGGTTTGTTTTGGGGTTCATTTAGGCTTGGTAAAGGGATGATATCCGGGATGCTTTTGGGAGGGTTAGAGGTTGACTTTGAGTCGGTTTGGGTTGGCTTGGAGCTGATTTGAACGAGGTGTGCGGCTCGTTCAGTAGCTTTTGGGCTGGTTTAGGCAAACCAGCCCACAAATTGCATAACCATACCCGCCCTGAAGCAGCCCAAAAGCTACTGCAAAAACCAGGCCGCACCCAGCCTCGAGCAAGCCAATAAGCAGCCCTAGTCTGAGCGAGGCCAGTGATGCTGGGAATGCGGCCGCCCAGCCGCCCGACCGACCGACCAACCGACCGACCGACCAACCAACCAACCCTGGCCGGGGCTAAGCCCCGAGCCGGGGCTAGTCGCGTTGCTTTGAAAACAAAAACCGGATACCATGGAGATCTGTACAGATCAAAGTCAAACGATCCAATTTGGGTGGGGTTCAAAGGGAGCTAATTAACCTCGAGGGCATGGAGATCTGTACACAGCATCGAAGTGAAATGATCCAAATTTTGGAATGAGGTTCAACCTCCAGCTTGCAACAGGGCAGGTGAGATTAATCTGCTGGACTTGAATCATTCCATAGTCAGGGCCTCTAACGAAAGTAAACACTCACGCACTCAAGCTGCGCATTGGATCCCAACATATCCCAAAAATGGTTTCCTCAAGGGTGAGATTTCTTCCCTTTAATTGTCGCCAAGCCAGTACTGGCACACTTGCCGATTGCTGTGATTTTCCTTGGCCAAGACATGATCTGAATGCGGAAAGGTGGCATCCATTTCCTAGGCCGTAAACACCTAAACCACATGTCAGGATCTTACAGAAGCTTCAGCAGCAGCGCGGAAATGTCCCGCGCCTTCGCGGACCGCCCCAGAGAAACTCCGAGAAGCCTGAGTCAGCCGATTGGACTAGACATGGACAACTGCAATGGTGCTGAAATGCTGCAGCGGTCCCGCTTTTTCCCCATGCTCATGCAGGCGAACATGTGCTAAGAACCACATTGACCATGAGAAAGATACGTGTTCGCGTTCCCGGCTCATAAACGAAGCTTGAACTGCATCTACAGCGCGTAGTGTGTTAGAGTAAACCTGCTTGGCGGCTGACTGCTGTTCACTGGCGGCAGCTATTCAAGCCCACTAACTTGTCGAATAACCAAGCGAAACAACTAATTGAACCTCACAGAAGACGCGCTCAACCCTTCTTGATACTGGCTTTCTTCTTTCCGCCAAGCTAAAACTGGGCCACTTTCTTGTGTTGGCACGACCAGTACTACTGCCAATTCGACTGATTGGCGATTTCCGGGGATCATGCTCCTGCGCAAAAGCTCTCTACATGGTGCTGAGGAGCCGTGGTGCTACAACCAGCTCTGGTAGACCCAACGTTTTGCACCGCAAAAGCAGGCAGTAGTTCATGTCCACCAGACGGTTGAAAGCGGTTCAATGAGAACGTGATGAAAGTTGCGGCCGCATGGTCGACACAAAACCCCTCCTAACGTCTCCTTATATATATCCCGCACCTCAGCCGGTCTGTAGCTCTTGCGGGAGCGCTCGCCAGCCGAGTGGCTGCAAGGAGTGCGGCGCGGCAGCATTGTCCGCATGGCCCTCCTGGAGTGCTCAAGTTGCTATGCACGGCTCGTGCCCAGAAAATCTATGCGAAACCTCAGCTTGTGAGCTTGACGCGGGCGAATGGATCTCTGCCAGACCAGATTGCTTATTCCCCCGCAGGTAAAATGACAGGTTTGTCCCCTATGTTCACCTCAAGTCGATCGCTGGTTCGGATTGATGACACCAGTCCTGTATCCTTTGGCTCGTCATGTTGCGGGATGTAAGGTTCAGCAAGGCGCTGGCTTCTATGGTCAACGTGTCTTCTTATCTTGAGCTACTTTGCATACCCGTGGATTCAAAGATAGTCTCACTAACATCTGAAGTGAGCCTTGACTACTCCGGCTTCGTCCGTCTTCCTGCTTATGATTAACATCAGCACAGTTCACATTAGGCAACAATGTTGTTTGGTTGTAAAGACTTGTAATATGCATGGGTCCACATCTAAATGTATTCAATCCATGTATTGCTGCTATACGGACACTGCAGGTGCTGCGTCTACTTCTGCCTTTAAGAACTACTGTACTGGTTCACTTGCAACTTGTTGTGGTGTAGACCACCGCCTGTTTGCAAAAGGTCCGCGGCCCAAATTAATGGAGGCCACAGGCACGCGTCTCGACCATGGTCGCTCTTTGGCTCCCATGCTGCTGACATCCCCTGGCTCCTCAACCCCCAAGAAGTGCTGGAAAAGCGTCGCGCCCCTGGCGGGCTCGAGACCCAGCGGCCAGCTCCAAATCTCCGGAGTCAAACGCCGAAAAGAACACACCCAAGTTGGCCTTCGGTCGGGAAAGATCCTCGGTGTGTTAGACACCAGTGACACTAGTCGAAAGGATCGTTCATCAAACATGCTCGAACTTCGAATCGGCGCTCAAACCAAGCCACCAACATGGGTTCATGGATAATCCCCAAAATATCAGGGAGCATACTGCAGCTAGTTGCTGGTAGGGAGTTTCTTCCTTCTGGCTGACGTGTCCGTGGGCTAGCTGCGAGCCTTGCCTCGGGCTGGCCGCGGCGGCCTGAAATCGGATGCTCACCGGAGCAACACAAGGAGCACGGAGATATATGGCTCTATGAGCCGGGGGGGTCCTGCAACTGGGATGCATCTTTTTGGTGCTTGAACATGGGGAACGCAACATATCGGCTGTAAGCCAACAAGCAAGAATGCGCGTCGGGCAAGAATGTAGGTCGTGTGCGGTGTGCCTGCCACGCTCTTTACGAGACTGAACATGTTGCCAGCCAGGTTCAGCTACAGCCGACTTGGGAAGGCGCTCGATATATTATCGCGCAAAATATAAACACACATCAAGTTTCTTGAGACTTATGGGCGTCATACCTCAACACAGCCAGCAAATATATTCACCTAAGTTCTGGACGCCAAGCAATACACCTGTTTATGCTGTTTCGATGGCCCGTTGCTCTCTTGATTTCGATTTCCCTCAAGTTGGCCTTTGATCTCCTTTGGTCTTGGCTTCCCTTTAGTTTTTTGAGTGGTGCATCATCCATCGCTAGAGGCAAGCATGCGTCCCTGCCAGAAAACCCATCAACCGGCAACTCTGTCTGTCATTCCCCAAACAGCCCTTCGAGAAGGGCCTCTCGCTCCTGCTTTCTGATTGTGGCCGCGTAAAAGCTTGGGGTCTCAAATGCGTTCCCAACTTTTCACACATCGGCCGTGCTAAGACTCGGACTGCAGGTAGTACACAAAAAAGCGCTTTTGCACAAACCCAGGCACGCATGCCTGGCCGGGCCAAAGGCGCCCACGTCACCAGGGGTCAAAGGCTGAAGGCTCTCCTGCAAACCTGAAGTGTGCACATGTGCTTCTGAAAAGGGAATCGTCTTGAGAAAGGGGCCCCAGCGCACTTCCAATTGATTAAGAAGGGAATACTCTTGATGCTATGGCAATCCCTTAGTGAATGAAGGTGGGCGTTAATAACGGTAAGATCAGCTGAAACCTTCTTCGCTCTTTTTCAGGAAGAGTTGCATCCCAACGAGTCCTGCGCGCACCGGTGCACCTGGCTCCAAACGCTTCCCGGCCGGCCTGTCTCAGCCCGGCGGGATTTCCGAGGCCTGCCAGCCGGTAAGATACTTCACGGGAGCATCTCAGCCAAGTAGGAATTTAAGAGGACACCAAAGAGGAACGCCATCCTGGAATGGCCTCGATTCGCACTTTGGACAACTCAAGCAGAACGAGGAGGCTTCACTGGGTTAGCCATGGATCTTTGGCCCCTGAAGTCCAAGGGCTTTGGCATAGTGGCCGCATGGTGTCGCTCTTTGCAAAGGAAAGTGAATCGCCATACCCACCAAACACAATTACCAACTCACAAGCCTTCGTCGTGGGTGAGGCAGTTTTAACTCCAGGTCCCCCAGTGAGCTAGCTGTGTGTGCAAGAGGCAAGGCCCATGAAATCCAGCTCGTTGCCGATGAAGATGTGCCAAAGCTCAAGCTTGCGATATTTGATGGTCCAGCAATACAGCCAACATGGACTCCTCCTCATTCGGATCATTCAGCAAAAGTCCAGATCATGCTGCCATCTCCAGCCAATCAATAGCTGCTTTAGACATCACTCCTTGCCATTGTGATCAACCACACACTTTCACTCAGTGCCCCCTCCCATTTCCCCCCCCCCGCGCCGCAGGCCGCAGGCAGGCCCCGTTTTGCCGCTTCGCATCGCCCGATTCGTGAGACGAATCGCGCGACCTCACCACGCCGCCTGGCCAGGGGCCGGGGCTGCCGGGGCCGGGGCCGGACTGGGCGCCGCCGGCATGTCCGGCATCACTGGGGCCTGGGGCATGCCCACCGGCTGCGGCTGCGGAGCTCCTGGGGGGTTCTAGACCTACATGCGTTCAAGAAAGCCCTGTGTTGTTCGGGACAGGTCGAACTTTTATGAATTGAACCAACCATGACCAGCACAGAGAAACCGAACAGTACCTGTTGTGACAAGCTATTGGCTTCGATTGATCGGTGCGCACTCTCCTGACAATCAACGTGGACCTCCGAAGGCTGGAAGGTGGGTGCTTACCCCATAGTTCATGCTGTTTGCAAGGCTCCTGCTGCATAGCCATACTGCGCGCCGGCATCCCCATAGCCGTACTGGGCGCCAGCATCCCCGGCATAGCTATACTGCATGCCGGCATCTGCAACATAGCTTTGAGTGTAGCTGGCCTCAGGGACAAGGCAATCCAGGGGCCCAGGGTGCAGATCTGACCAAGCACGAGCCAGCCGTAAAGTTCCAAGTGTTCAGGACACCTCACCTGGTCCCCCACTTCAGCCACAAGGTCAAACTCAAACCAAGCCTGCCAGCCTCGTCAGGTGCATGTGAAAAACAAAAAAACCTTGGGACCATGGGAACTCGGTGGGAAGCTACCTCTGTTGGCAAACACTCATGTGTATCCTGCCTCTAGAGAGACTCAACCCCAACCGATCCCACATCATACCGGATTCCACTAAATTCTGACTTTAGGATCTTGATCCTGCTCTGCCATGCCGCGTTGGGCTAAAAACATGATGATTTGTTAGAATACGACGAAGCCAGCATGCTCGCAACTACCTTACCTAGGTGTGTCTCTGTGCGTGTTCTGTCTTGTGTGTTGCGTGTTGTGCGTGCCTAAATGTCCTACCGTCCTACTTGCTTGTGCCTTGTGTTGCCTTTTGGTTTGCAGCCAGAATCCATGCCGATGCGATCAGACGTTCGGCTGATCGGTCTCCGCGCATCTCCGCGCGCCTGCTCCATCAAGCCGGCTTGGGCCTCCATGGCACCATAGACCTGCTGCTCCTTGAGCATGTCCTCAACTCCCCTGTACATAAAGGGGCGGTCGCTTCGGTACGTGAGGTACGTGGTCAAAGTAAGCTTGGCTCTAACCCACTGAACGGAGACTTGTCAGCATGGCCTTAGTGGGTTATAACAAGGCTTGCTAGCCACATACTAAGTACCTGGCCGCCCCTTTAAGCATGGCCTTCCTTCCGAAGGAGCCGGCTGGCGGCTGAAAATCGGTGTCCAAGGGAAACACTCCAAGGAACAGCTGTGCTTCGCGGGAGGGGCCGTGAGCCTAAACTGTGAGCATGTGGCTACTCGCGTGCGCATGGGAAACAATATGATATGTCGGGCATGCATCCGCCCACATATGCGATGAGCCCACACACTTGCAGACTCACACCTCTTCACACATAGCACTCATGTGTAGCTTCCAGACATGTGAGTTTGTTGTTCAAACAGCCTATTCTTGTAGCCCTGGGGCCCAAGCTGAAAGTTGCGGCTCGGTCCTTGTAGATGCGTTGATCTTCGGTCTCTTCGCTGTTGAGCCTTGCAGACAGGTCGACTGCCAAAGCAAATCCTACATCGCGCAAGACACGTGGTCTTTCCCATGTGCTGAATTCTTCACTTGACAAACAAAAAAGACAATCGTCACAAGCTACCTTTACTTGAAAGCAAACTGGGACAACAACAAGCATCTTTCTGTCGACGTCAGATTCAAATTGTGGGTGCCCAACAAGTTGATTGTTCGCCCGCAGTGAGCCCCGTAGTAGAATGTAGTAGAAACTGCCACAGACTGGCAATCACACCGGCGCCCTGAGCATTGCGGCAGCGATGCCATTGGAACTCTACCCAAAAAGAAACACACAAACACACATCTCAAGTCCAGTATAGTCAAGGGCTCAATCATCCAGATCTCTTGGGCATTTCTGCAAACATGTGACACTTGTGACACAATCATATGTGGGTCATGGTGCATCGTGGCGACACCAACCCTCCAACATGATTTATTTCACACGCCGCTGGCGGACATCCTACAGCACCATGTGTACCCCACTGCATGCCAGTTAATCCACAAAGCCTAAACAAAATGGAACCTGGGTTGGCTGGAACATGTGAAGCTGCAGAGCCAATTCTTCAACATCAGAAGGGTGCAAGATGCGGTCCATTGGTCTCGCCACCGGAGAATAAATTCGTGCTCTTTCTCCCGCCTCATGCAAGTATGAAAGCCCAGGGCCACTAGCTGGATGAGGATGCCCACCCAGACCTCAAAATGGCCAGGGCTCAACATGAGAGCTCGCCTGTTGCATTTTGTTGAAAGCAAAAGCAACTGCACCTGTCGGCCAAGCCAAGCTAGCTGTTTTACGAGGCCGACGACCTATGGCTGGCCAGTGCAAACTACAGGGCAAAGCAAAAGTGACAGCCCACTCAGCACCTGCTTCGGAGTCAAGCGGCCTTCCTCCGTAACCAACCAGGGTGCATAAAACAGTGCTGCTCAACAAAGGGCTAAGTCCGAGTGAGCTGCTGTCTTCGAAAGCTTAGCTCGCCAAAGGGCATGACTTAGCACACTCTCAGCCATCTCCTTTCACTTAAAGGAACACCCAATTCTTGGAACGGCCTATGACATGAGAACGAACGAAGGCGCTGACTGCCAAATATCTGAGCCTTGGCTCGTCAAGTTGAGAAACACATACGCCTTGCTGGTGCGATAGGTACGGAACGACCGAGTCCGGGTTTTGGGAACGAACCGTTCTGAAACTCCCCCAAAAATTGAAAAACCACCAGTTGGACGGTTTATGGAAGTTTGTCCCCTCGTTCCCTGCGGAGTTTGAACACCAACTCTTTAGGATGGGATGTCTCTCATGCGGTCTCTCGACATCTCGGCTGCAGCTCTCGGGGCCCGCGCCAGGAAGTAGCCCGGGCTGATGCCCACCGACTCGCTGGCCTCCATAATTCCCGGGATGCCGCTACCGCCTGGGCGAAAAATAATAATGAATGGAAGCCTTTTGGGTGTGGCTCAAGTATTCCGCGCGCTACCTTGCGGCACTCAGTCAGGCAGGGCTCTTGTAAAAACGTCAGATGTTCGGGTTATTTATCCATGAGGTTGACCATATATGTCCCCATTAGTTTCATTTTTTTTCTGCCAAAGGCTAGCTGTTCAAATGGACAAGCCGGATGAATCACCTCCCCCACTAATCATGCATGCGGCCAATTAATAAAGACCATTGTTCCCAGACCCACATCTCCCGATGCCAAACTAGAATTAGCCAAACCAATTCTGAACCAGCAAATTTCCCGCCGACTGCAACTCCGGTCGTATTGGGGGATACTAAAGCCAGCACAAAAACGATACTACACCGCTATCAAACCAAACCAGCGCAAATCCTAAAAATCATATTGACTTCTGCTGCTTAAATTCATTGCTCGGAAAGCAATGAAGGGGGAAGCGAGGACCACAGTGGAACCCCCTGCTACGCCATGTACAGTATTATTCCTCTTTTGGCTCCCAGGCGTTCTTTTTGTTGGAGGGAACCGTGTGAATGCTTCTCGGTGGCTGTATCAGCCTGGATGAATCCTCACACCCCAACCAATTATGGTCCGGATGGTGTACAAAAGTCAAGGATGAGACTGAATCTGTGATTTCTATCAAACATTACACTGGCAAATCGGCTTTGCCTCAATGTTCACTGAAGAAAGCGCTGTTGCGTTGAGATCTTGAACGCAGCCCGAACGCAGACTTGAGCTGCGACAAGCACAGGGGATGTGACGACCTCTTCAAATGAGTTAATGCTCAAGCTCCAGAGCAAGCTCAAGCAGCACAGATCTGTGCTAGCTCAACGTAAGGTGCTGTCCTCATCAAAAAACAACCACCGACTAAGCTCAAAAACAAGACAGCCCCCAATAACATGTCATTAAACATGGTCTGACGGATTAAGCTATGGCGTTCATCCCTGCGCGCGCCCTTTCAAGTTGTTGCCCTTCATGTCCACCATTCGTGCCGAGACACCGATTGCATCCAAGGCAGTCATGGCAAAAAGGCTGTAGCCTTGGATCTAGGCACACCGATGACATGATGACTGGTGGAAGTTTTCGACCTCTACTCACGGCAAGAACCGGTATTGTGGGAAGGGGCCAGGAATAAGAAGACAATGTTGACTCCAGATTAATAAACCCCTGTTTACTAGTATGGGGGTGTCCCTGGGTTTAGTGGGGAATCATCACTTTTGGCGGGAAACACCCCCTATTAATCAACTTGATTAATATGAGGTCAACATTCGGTGCAAGGCCTCTATAAAGCGCCAAAGCCTCTTACCCTGACTGTGGGGAAGAATTCGGACAAGCAGATACATGCGTGCCGAGTATGCCGCGCATTTTCTTCATAGGTGTGCGCATGTTCAATAGCCCGAGTGAACAGCCGTGGTGGCGGCCTGGCTGTGCTAGAAATGCCCGGTTTAGCCAAAAGGCCTCAGTCACGCGCGCATGACAGGGAAGTGATATATGGCTAAGGGATTGACTGCCAGTCAAGTGCTGTCCACATGTCCAAATATCATGCACGCCCTCAGCTGCGCTAAACAAAGACCATGCGTGAGGTCGCGTTGTGTCACAATGCTGCGTCATCCATGCGGCCCCAGCCGGCCAAGCAGCAAACCACCGCCGCAATCAGAAGCCCGGTGGCGACGCCGTGCAGAATCCCGGCCCAGGCGCGGTATTCCCCTTTGTGCGACTTACCTCAGCAAACATTCTCAAACCCAGGAAAGGCTAAAAAGCCAAAAAAAAAAAAGGAGCAAAACCAACCAAACAGAACCGAGCAAAGTGTCAAGCAGGCAAGGCCACAACAATTGCTCTAGCAGGGTTTGAACAGCATGGTGTACACTAAGACTGCTAAATATCTTGAAGTGGTCACCTTTTGTCAAGAAGCGCACTTGACCTACTAGTCACTATGCTTTGCCCAAGTGAGAACAAGAGACGACATGATCAAAATAGGGCCCCAGCGCATGTGTATCCCCTCAAACAAAAAAAAGCGGCACAGCTTCTGATCCGAAGCAAGCTGCATGACATGCCGCAGGCCTTGCTTGCCTTGGACCCAAGGTACCAGAAAAGGCCCAAGTCGAGGCCTACAGAGTTGGGCTTGTTCTTTTAAATCGAAGGATCAGGATAAATCAAGTCTCACCAGGAGATATGCACATGAGGCCACTTGGGTTCAAGTGGGGCCTACCAACATATCAGACGCAGGACATGATTCCACATCTTCGACATGCCCACTGGAAGTTGAGCCAATTCAGCAAGTGGCTGTCCAAGTAGTAGTACAGGAGGAAAGCGCATGAGCACAGAAAGATCACGTTCAAGCCGTACCTTGGTCAACGCTTTAGGACTGATTCTTCCCCTGAAGCACTTCACGCCGACAAAAAGCATTGGCTGTCATTGCCAATGCTCTCGCGTCCCCTCTGCATCCGTTTCTGCAGGGTCGCGCGCGCTATGTCTATGACTGGTTCTACTATGTTCTTCTCGTATTGCCTAGCGTTAGTACGCGACCACGTCTATGAAATGTGATGCATGTCATGTCTACTCGAGGGGTTTCAGAACGGCAAGCCGCGTGTTTGAAGATCCGCAACGTACCTGCTGGCTGCCGCACATGTGTCACGGCACACGTTGGAACCCAAGGTGTGGTTCGTCTGAATAAACGCATAAGCCGAAAAGGCGAACAGGTCGCACTTGAACTGGGCCCGTTCAAGCCGGGTGCCATCTGCATCTGGCCCTTGTCAATTCCTGCAGAGTGCACACTTGTCCAGAAGGGTAGTTTACAAATGACGGTGTCAAGACCGGAAACTGCGACATACGTGGAGGGACGATGCCATGAGCCACAACCCGACATTGGACTTTGGTCAGTGACCCTAGCTGTACTTTGATGAGCTACCCCATGTCATCCATGCTACAAATGATGGCGAGCATAGGTCCAGGGTGCCTATCCAGAGGGACCCGTTCGTTGTAGGCAATGCATTTCTGACTATTTCCTCAACGGCTGACTCAAGATGGGAGGGCAATCCCACTAGGAATCGAACTGTTAGTTGCCCCATAGCTCTCTGAACACCGAGCGGCGTGAGGATGACAATCATCCCCAAGATGTAGGCTCGGTTGAAGGCCTTGGCAAACGAGTGTACATGGGGTGTCCCAGGTCCATGTCTTCGGTTGTCTAGACCCACTCCCCCAACCCAAAAGGCGGATGCCCGGAAAGCAAATGAGTCAAAATCAAACGTTGGTATAAAAATGGTTTACCCAGAAGCATGTAAAGAATTGAAACGGCTGCCGCACCCATTCACGGCTGGGATTATCCCACGGCCTGCCGCCTCGCATCGCCTCTTGGGCGCCCAGGCGATGCAGGGCGAGGGGTAGATGGTGAAAACCATGGGCGCGCACCAGTCAGACGCCGCCTGCGACGCCACGAAAAAAGGCCAAAGAACTCTCTCAGAAACCTCACCCCTTCCTTCCAAACAAGCGATCCAAGTCTCCACACTGGGAATTGGGAATCAACAGCCCTCCTTTTTTGGCATTCTGAATCCCAAAAAAATGAGTTGACCAAAGCGAGTTCCAGGTTAGTAACTGGGGACAGGGCCCTGAAACTGACAGCTCAAAAAGCACGCAAAGCATGCGTCCGCCGGCCTCACATGCACGAAGGTTAAAGGCTCTACCATCTTGGTTGCATACCTCTGGATAGTCGTCTTCCCTCCAATAAGAGACTTTCGGCAAAATGAAGGATCCCATTTTGGCCAAATGAGGGGCATTGCGCAATGCCCTGGAACAAGTCAACCAGCTTCGGGGGTCGGAAATTGTTGGAAGACCTCCGCACACGGGGCAAGTCCCTCTTGACCCGCCACAGGCCCACCTCCTGTAGGGAAATGCCATCTTGCATGTCCTCAGAGTCAGGCACCCGCTTGCGAGATTTTTCAGTCTGGTCTAAAGCTGACTTCCCCAAAAACGAATGAATTGGAGGGGAACGTGGTTGCCTTCGGAGGAATTGGTGCAATTCCATGTCTTCATATCCCTGACTGGCACGACTCGAGCTGATATCAGCCAAGAAGGACCATTAAAAGGTTGTGTTTGTATGCTTTCGGCACAGGTTGTTCAAAATACAAGGCTGACATGGCTGACTAATCCGAATTCATAATCCCAGTAGGGAAACAGTTTCAAAGAAGACTCCGCAATCATTCCGTGTATTTGTTTGGCAGTCAACGGCTCGCACAAAGACCAACATCGTCCTGCCAAATCTAGACGTGATGCTTTGGCCACTGCTGAAACGAGTTTGCCTCAAATCGCTCTGAGTTGTTTCGCTTTGTTCTACTCAAGTTGAGTAGGAAGCCACCAGGGCAGAATAAAAACAGGCCTCTACGGCGCTTTCTTCGCTTTCAGGCAACGAATGCACACACGTCATTCTGGGGAGATGTCTGCACGAGGACAGGGATAGTCCCCAGAAACCTATTTTTCAACACTTCAAGACAACTCATCGGACAGGGGCATCTCAACCCATCTTCATAGAAGACAGCCATCGCACGATTCTGACACGTTCTCTGTGTCCCTACAGCCGAGATTGGCAGTACAAATTCACTCATGCCCGTTTCATTAGTGCATCAATACGGCAAGGCCGTATTCTGCTGTGCCATTCACCGTGTCAGCACCTGTGACAAAACATGACAAAACAAGGTCGTCTGCAAGATCGGTAAATATAATTACCAACAATCCTCGCTCAGTGCCAGGGGGCCAAGCAAAGATAAGGAGTTTTAGCGGTGAGTTGAATGACAAAGGCCAGCGGCTAAAGAGCTTCAACAGGTTGCTTGATCTTCTAGGTCGGCATAGCTATGACCAAACCATGTGCCAAGCGGCGGCGCATCGCTTGGGCTGCTTGCTCTTGAAGATGCCACAGAAGATCCTTAGCTCGAGACTTCGAGACGCGTCAAGGCATGGAAAAACAGCTCAAGTGAATGGACGCTGCTTCCATCCAATAGCGAAATCCGCCAGGCTGATCTGTTCGAGGCGGGGCAAGAATGGATTTGCTTTTCGTGCCCACTGATGAGGTGCTCCAGATTTCTGTGCACTCTGCGGCTCCCCGAGTTGAGCAGCTCTGTCACTATCTTGGAAAAGCCTAGCCTTCTCCAGGCGCAAACTAAACCAGCTATAAGAATATTTAAGCGTCTAGACTGTGTAACACTGGAACCTTCTCCAGTCTCCAGGCCGGGGGATGGGCCAAGGAGAGTCTAGTAAGCTTCTGGCCATGATCAATGATCCCCATAGTCAGGTCGCTTGCTCCCTTGCACCTGGTTTTGAGATGTCAAATGCACCCTAGCAACAGGCAACAGGCACCAGCGGCACACCACCTCTCAACGTCTTGTGCAATCTGCTTGTTTGCTCGGCACACAAACATTTGGCCATGGGACAAAACCCCGTACCCCCAGTGAACATCCCAATCCCCACTAAAAGGAACTGAAATGGGGGTGCACCTATCCCAAAATGGTACCATTGGTTTTGACCCACAGCCAAATCAGCAAAACCAACTCAACCCAGGAGTCTTTGTTTGGGGCATGGCCCAAAATCAATCGTCAACCTTTCTGGGTTTATGGTCCGAACCCCAACCAGAAGCCCCTCTTTGGCGAGCCCTCAACCAATTTCTCGAGCCCCGGCCCCGAGCGTATTTCCTGTGCCAGTGGCTTGGAGCTGGCCGGAATGGTGACCGCCGTCAAGGAGGTCTCCATGCGCATCACCGTCTTGAAGCCCAAGGTCTTAAAGGTCACCTAGGCTATGGCTAGGAGTCAACTCCTGCTGTGAGGGAGTGAGAAATGGAATGAGTTCCAAGGAACACCATCCAAGTGGTGGTTTCCTTTGAAAAAGTTCCCTTCCAGTTCATTCCCAACACCCTGAAGGTCGTTCGCTACAAAGCACCAGCAAGATTGGTCCCTCTTGATTCTTGCCAAGTTTGGGCTCTTACGTTCAACGGGTCAAAGGCCTGTCCAGGATCGCCTTTTTGAAGAGCAAAAACCAACTTGCTCTTGGCAAAAGGTGGCCAATGGACGCCACCTGAAAATGGGCCCCAAAAGAATCCCGTGTGGCACTCTCCCCGTCTCACTGTGTCTGGTTTGAAGTTGTTCTTGGTTGGCACTTTGTCATGCCAAGTTGCTTGATGCCACTTGTTAAAGCATGATATGCTGATGAGGACAAAGGAGAGCACGCACATCATGCAGTACAGGCCGACGATTTTCTTTCCCATCCTC